TATATGTGTGTAATGTGTGTGTGTGTATGTGTGTGTATAATATGCGTGTGTGTGTGTGTGTGTGTGTGTGTGTGTGTGTGTGTGTGTGTGTGTGTTTTGTGGGTGCTGTGGAGCTGAACTCAGGTCCTCAGGCTTGTACTTCCACAGCCACCGAGTCAGCTTCCCAGTCCTGGTTTTTTCCATTTTTAATACTTACTATTTTTTCTATCTGCATACATAATGTGTGTATGTATGGAGGCCAGAGGACAGCTTGCAGGAGTCAGTTCTCTCCTTCCACCACCTGGGTTTTGGGGGATCATCGACCTCATATTGTTAGGCTTGCTGGCAAATGCTTTTACTCACTGAGCCATTTCCCTGGCCCTACTTCTGTTTGTGAGACAAAGATCCTGCACTATAGCCAAAGATGGCTCATAACACGTTGTGTAGCCTAGGCTGACTTCAGATTCCTATTAACCCTCTTAGCTCAGCCTCCTGAGCTGCTGGAATTACATGTATGAGCACTTGGCTCTGATATTTATTTTGAATTATTTGAACAACATTTTTTTGTTTGTTTTCTCTTCTTTGAGATGACAGGGTCTCACTATGTAGACCAGGCTGGCCCCAAACTCACAGAGATCCACCTCCATTTGCCTCCTGAGTGCTGGGATTTAAGGTGTGCACCACCACGGCTGACCTAAAGCGAGTTTTTGAATGTCTGTAAACTGACTCTTGTTGTTCCTGAAATAGACTTGTCATTTTACAGATGAGAGACTGAGGCAGAGTGGGAAAGTCTCCCATCACTCACTCAGCTGCACAGGGCCAATCAGAGGGGCTTTTGAAGACGGTCCCCCGAACTTGCCTGTTGACCTCTGCTACCTTCCCACTTGCTTGTTTTCAGTTCTCTGTTTTTGTGTGTGGCCAGGTTTCACTCAGATGGGCTCAATAGACAGTTTATGATTTATTTCAAATTGAGATCTGGACTGCATGGCTGTCTAACGTATAACAATAATAACCCCTAAGTGTGTGGCTGCTAATTCTCCAGAGGGCTAAAGTGCTGCAAGATTGGCTTTTGTCTTAAACCATCCATAGCTATGAACTTGCCAAATGAGGACCAGTGGGACGAAACCACCTGTGGCTCGGCAGTTTGTCAGCATCCACAATGCTGGACATCTCTCCGACGGATTGAGAGGGGCCATCCTAGGATCCTGGACTCATCCAGCAAATCTTCCCGCGAAGTTGAAGGTACGTTGGCTAGCCTCTGGTGTCTTCTTCACCGAGTCCTTATCCTGTTTTTGTTTGGTTCCATTTCCGCAGGCAGCAGGTTACACGTTTTATTCTGGTCCAATTTATCAGATAAACTCCCGTCACTCACCATTGTAAATATCATGGATACCTGCTTGTGGTCCAAGCAGAGGGTGGTTCAGCGGCCACGATCAGAATTTACCTTCCCTAAGGAGCGGTCTTTGCTGTGGAAACCAACCTGCAGGCGTCATGGCAGGTAAGTGATCTCAGAATCTTTCCTTAGCAAACTGTGTCTCCAACCCCGAGGTGTGCATTTCTCTCATCCACACAGATGACTCTGAGAAGGATGGATTTGAAAGAAAATACTGAGGGCTGGGGATGTAGCTCAGTGATAAGACCCCTTTGCTCAGCACCTACGAGGCTCTGAGTCTGATCCCTGGTGTTACCAAAAACAAGACAGCAAAATGGAACCTACCCAAAGTTAAGTGAGTAGTAAACAGGGAGAGGAGAGTCCAAAGGAAACGGCCACACGTGTTCCAGGAGCAGAGTGAGTGGGCCTGTAGTGGTTTGCCCAGGTGAAGTACCGTTGCTGGGGTGGTTTAACTAGTGAAATTCAACGTCACAGAATTCCGCAGGCAGGAAGTCTGAGATCAAGGAGTTTGCATTTTTTTCCTAGGCCCCTCTCCTAGGAGATGACATCTTGTCCTTCAGTCTTCTTTGTGGGTCTGAACCCTAATCTCATTTTATAAACATACTAATCCTATTGGATAAGGACCCACCCACCCACAGGACCTCATCTCATTTTAGTTATCTCTTTAAAGAATCTGTCTCTAAATATACTCACATTCTAAAGTACTGGGGTTAGAAACTCAGCAAATGAATTTTAGGTTTGGGGCACAACTTAGCTGCTAATGGGGCGACTTTATCAGCTTCTGAAGGTCATCAAAGAACAGCGGCCACAAGTGCTGCCTGCCTCCCTCCCTCCCTGCCTGCCTGCCTCCCTCCCTGCCTGTCTCCCTGCCTGCCTGCCTGCCTCCCTCCCTGCCCCCCTGCCTGCCTGACTGCCTCCCTCCCTCCCTCTCTCCCTTTCTTCCTTTTCTTTCTTTTTTTCTTGACAGGGTCTCTTCATAGTCTCAGCTGTCCTGGAACTCACTAAATAGATCAGACTAGTCTTGAACTCACAGCGATCTTCCTGTCTCTGCTTCCCACGTGCTGGGATTAAAGGCATGTGCCACCATGCCTGGTTCATGTTGTCTTATTTTTTTAGTTTTAGATATGAAACTACTTGTAAGCTCCTAGTGGCTTTTTTTGTTTAATCTCTTGCAAAGTCTAGGCACCCAATTTTGCCAAAACATGAAATTGCGGTTCTGTGGAAACCTCAGCTTTTAAAATTCAAAGACCTGGCTGCCCAGAGTCCAAGCACTAATGGCTGCCCTTGAAGTGGTTTCTTTTCTCTAGTCCATGTAAGCAAGCTGGTGATTTTTCTTAACCTTATGGGAGTATAGGAGGGACTAGGACTACTTTCTGATTCTCTGGGACCTGAGCCCTGAGAAAGCAGCATCAGCATCCAGCCAGGACCTGCACTGGGCCCCACATCTGCACCCAGGCACACTTGTGCTCCCGTTAGGGCCCATGTGTCCGGCTGCAGGTAGCCCCCTGAGCAGCCAGCTCCCCCGCTCCATCTGTTCCTTCTGTGTTCTTGCTGTTCACCTCTGCCTCTGTCCTGGACTGTTTGCGCACGACCTGGAGTGTGGGCTTCTGCTCTCTTGCCTCTTCTCTGACACTCGGACTAACGCTTTGCCCATCTCCTCACTCAGTTCATCCTCCGCATCTGCTCATTCTAGAGCTGTCCCCTCTGTTCTGCTGCACTCCTCTCTGGTCATGGTCCTCGCTCTCTGATGTCAGCTTTTTCTGGCTTTTCGATGGCAACTTGCTGCTGTCTCTAACACTTTGCCCATGTGGTCTTCCCAACCTTAAAGGCTCCCTTCCCTCTGCCCTGCTTCATTAAATGCCTGGGGTGCCTTAGACCGCCACAGGAGGGCCTGAATTCCTGACGGACCTCACCTTCTGTGTCTCTCTCTTGTTCAGTAGGTTCCAGCCATATTGTCCTTTCTGTCTGTCACATCCTCCACACTTCCCACCCCACAGCTCAGGCACCTACACTGTACTCCCTGGACTGGTGTTTTACAGTCCGCCACTGCCGACACTCTGGGTCAGATAGTTATTTTCGGGGTCTGTGCTGTGTGTCATTGGTCACTGAGCTTCCTTGCTGTCTACCCACCGCAGGCCAGTACCACCTCACCTGCAGCTGTGACAGCGTCACATCCATCCATCCGTTGTCAGCTGTCCCTTGGGGGGGCAGAGTTGCCCATCTGAGAACGTCGCCTTTGATGCTCCCGCAGCTAGTCCTTCCTTGTCCTCTAGTTTGAACTGAAGAATTGCTTTTTCAGAGATGAGCACCTCATTTAAAAGTTCCCGTATGCACCCTGACCATCATTTGACTTGGCCTCTTTGGCCTCGCATCCTGCTCTGAGAAGCCTTTTATTCCTTTGTTTGCCTTGTTGCCACAAAACTCAGCTCTCACTTCAAAGGGAATGCAAACTGGCCATGGTGGAACCCTCTTTAATCCCAGCACTCAGGAGGCAGAAGCAGGCAGATCTCTGTGAGTTCGAGGCCAGCTTGGTCTACAAAGTGAGATCCAGGAAAGCTGGGGCTACACAGAGAAACCCTGTCTCAAATCACAACAACAAAAAGAAATATAAAATCATTCATTCTTGAACCAAATCTCAGTGACCTTGGCCTGAAACTCAGAGGTTACAGCAAAGTAGGAGAGCGCTCTCTCTGTTACAGGTCTCAGATGCTACATGATGACATTCTTTCTTAGCTCTTGGGTGGGTGAAGACTAATGATCCATCTCAAAAGGTTTCACCTGATGGTTACAGCGTGTTAGGTCAGACACAGAGCCGAACAACAGATGGTTATAAAAGGAGTGAAAGGTAGCCAAGAGAATTTGGTTCTGGACCTGTGACAGGTTAACTCTCCACAATCGCAGTCAGTCATTCAACCCCACAGACTTTAATATAGATATGGCTTTGGGAGTGAGAGTCGGGACATCACTTCACAGGATCCTGTCACTAGAATGTCAGTGCTGGGAGCTGGAGAGGTGGAGTAATGGCTAAGAGCACAGGCTGCCCTTCCAGAAGGCCCAGGATAGCCTTCCATTCTGTTCCTTCCCGTGTCTCCAACAGTACATGGCCCGAGTGGAAGCTCAGGTTTCTGGTGAATGAGTGAATATGGCGTCCTCCACTGTCAAGGTTGAGTTTTACCTCTTACCATTCTCCCCGTGTGCAGATTCTTCCCAGTTCTTCCAGCAGTGGTTGCTCCTGCCATGCTTATGGATGTGTTCCAGTCCTACGTCCTCTTTGCTCACCTGCATTTGAAGCCCTTTTGAAAGCAAGAGTCACAGCCTCCTTTGTTTAGTCACATATGCAGCTCACAGATCTGTTTTTAGTGGGGGTCACCAGGCTGGGTTCTGGGCATACAACAGGGTTTTGTTTATCTCATGGGAATAAGACAGTGTCTGTGCTCAGAAGCTTTCATCTTAGCTGGATATTGATTACCCATAATCCGGGGATTTTGCTATGTCCAGCGTGGGATATCTGAGGGAAAAAAATCTACGTACACTATGCTCTTATGTCTGTTAACTTTATTCCTCTAAGACAAAATTCTATCAATACAGCTACAACTCATCGGGCATTCAGGGCAGGAATAACTCTATGCACCAAGCTCCTTAGCCGTCTACTTTATTTCTCTGGGGTAAAATCCTGTCTCCATAGTTTCAGTTCCGTCCAGTTCCCTCTCATGGTCCTGCTGACGACTAAACTCTTATGCTTCCCACCTCGTCTTCATCCTCTGTTTCTTCTTCCTCCATCCTACTTGCTCTCTATTCCTAGCTCAAGAGTTCTGCCTTACCATCTACATTACCTCTGTGTTCTTCTCTTCTCCTTGGTCATGCCCTTCTCTCTGTCTACAGAAAATGCCTGCTTTTTTCTCTCTGGCCAGGCAGTTCTCTGCCCCCTCAGGAATGTTCCTCCACCCTACCTTCTACCTCTTTTGTTCTCAGTCAATTGCTCTGGAGAGCCACTAGACCTCAAGGCATTATTTGCACAAGAAGCAAAGCGATGCCTCTCCAGCCACCTGTCTCCTAGGCTCAGTGGGAGAGTTAGTTACCTAGAAGTTCAGCAGGTCTGGGGAGCTGAACTGTTAGCCAAATGGTCTGGAAATATTTGGGCACGCAAGAATTTGCTAAAGGCTGGTTAGCACCAAATATTCATAATAAATGGCTTGCCTTTTGACAGACCCTTGGCTAGTCAAAGTATAGCTTTAAATACAGCTGAATCTCTGTAATAGATTCTTGTGGCTCGCCACAGCTGGGGAGGCAAAGATACCAGCAGTCCGAGTGTCCAGTGTGGAGTGACCTAAAAGGACTGCTGTTCCAGGCTATGGAAGCACAGGGAAGATTTCCTAACCTAGAGCCCTGTCACCTGCACAGGGAACAGTGATCCCTGGCCCTGAAATTGAGCAGCATATTGAAGGGGGAGGCTTGCATGTGGGAAGCTGGCAGGGAGAAAACTCTAAACTATAGAGATGGGCAGCAGTAGTGCACGCCTTTAATCCCAGCACTGGAAGGCAGAGCCAGATGGATCTCTGTGAGTTCGAGGCCAGCCTGGTCTACAGAGCGAGATCCAGGACAGGCACCAAAACTACACGAAGAAATGCTGTCTCAAAAAACCAAAAACCAAAAACCAAAACCAAACCAAAACAAAAACAAAAAGAAACTATAGGACTGGGGCCTGAAAGTGAGAGGACATTCTTTGAGAGCTTGGAACACAGAGCAGGAATGATGTGGGCTCAGAGGTAAGGCTGAACTGTAGAAAATGTCAGTGGAAAGTAAGGTCTCTCAACTGAGACTTCATAAGTCAGGATGGATGTAGTCTTTTTTTTGCATACCTCCATATTACTCTTTCTTAAAATTAAGGAACTTATTTTTAAGTAATATGTCTTAAAAATAAGGAACAAATGATATGAAAACATTACAGGTTCTCTAGCTCTCTGTCTGTCTGCCTGTCTGACTGCCTGTCTGTCTGTCTCTCTTGTCTATGTTGTTTTTTGAGACAGGGTCTTACTATGCAGCCCTGGCTAGCCTCGAATCACAAAGGTCTGCTTCCTTCTGCCTCCCAAGTGCTAAGATGAAAGGCTTGCACCTCTGTGCCCAGCCTTAATAAGCCTAAAGAAATTGTCTTTACTGTGTGTGTGTGTGTGTGTGTGTGTGTGTGTGTGTGTGTGTGTGTGTGTGTATACAAGCATGTGGGCATGACACTGCACACGTGGAGGTCGGAGGACTGTTTTGGGGAGTGGGTTCTGTCTTTCCAGTATGGGGATCAGGGATCAAGGGTAGGTTACCAGGCTTGTACAGAAAGTGCTTTTACCCTTGAGCCATCTTGCTGGCCCATACCACACTGTTATTTAAGGTGCTGTACTCGTTTTCCTATAGTTAGAGAGGCATAGGCTATGCATTGAGTTTGACGACATACCTAGTTATAAAGTGCAGTATACAATGTCCGTGTAGGAATACCTGTGTTTATTTGATTAGTATTAAGTCCCGGGCCTTCGGAGTAAGTAGATGGGTGTTCTTCAGAGCATGAACTTTGCTATTCCATTGGCTTTTCTCCTCTTTGACTCTGTTTCATACTTGGAACTCATATCTTCCAGGTCTCCGAAGGCTTTACGTGACAAAGGTGTAACTAGCCTTTCTAGTCCTCCCACAGTAAGTCACAGTTTTAAATGCTGATTCCTCTATATTTTCTCTTTATTAGTGGGAATATTTTGCTTTTGACATTATTCTTTTAAGAAAATTTTTATTCTCTGTGTATGGTTGTTTTTGCCTATATGTCTGTGACCCATGTGTGTGCCTGGTACCTTCCAAAGCCTGAAGAGGGCATTGGATCCCCTGAAGGTGGAGTTAGAGATGGTCATGAGTCACCATCTGGGTGCTGGGAATTGGACCTGGGTCTTATTTCCTGAACCGTCTCTCCAGCCCCAGGATCATGGAATGAGAAGGATACAAGCTGTCCTTATATAGAACATGCTCAGCTTTTAAGTAAACATTCAAATTGCTGAAATGTCAGGCTTAAAATTGGCCTTAAGGTCATCTAGTCTGATGACTCTGACTTTAAAAACTGTGATCCATGGTTAGACATGGATTTTATATACATGTATGAAAATGTCATAATGAAACCCATTATTTTATATGCCAACTAAAAATAATGTTAGATTTTGCAGTCAAAAAGAGCATAAAATAATCTTTCCCTTCACCAGAGAAGTATTCTGATATTTTCCGTCCTGTTTTTTCTCTCTCCTCTCTCATTTTCTGTCCTTTTTTTCTCTCTCCTCTCTCTTTCTTGTTTTTTTTTTTTTTTTTTTTTTTTTTTTTTAAATAAAGATAGGGTCTCATTATATATCCCTGGATGGTTTGGTTTGGAACTTGCTATGTATATCATGCTGGCCTGGAACTCACAGAGATCCCCCTGCCTCTACCTCTCTAAGTCAGTCAGTTCTGATCAGCAGACAAGACTTTATTTTTAGTAACTTTGAAAAAAATCTTAAATGGAATATGGGCTAGATGATTCATAGGATTTCTTTGAGCCCTAGTGCTGTGTGACTGATCTCAGGGGTGGGAGAAATTAGCATGTTAACTCATATGGATTCCTGTAATTAGAGACAGAGTGAAACTAAAGGAAGAAACCTTGATGACCTGTGCTCAGTATGTCCCCAGTTCCAAAATGTGGGTTGTATTACCTGCAGGGAATCCAAGTCTTTGCATGGAGTGGCAGAATAAGTAGAGTTCTTGTAGGGTTGCCTCCAGACATCCTCATGTGAGATGGGCCTTCCTAAATTCTACACTAATGTCATGGAGAAGCAGGGAATGTTACTGTTGGAAACTTCTACCCCTTGAGAACTCGCACTTGTACTGATATCCGATGTAGGAGGGGTTTTTTAAAAACAATTTCCTGAATCATCAAATGTTTTGGTGACTGTAACAACACAGCATTTGGTCTGAGGCCCCAGCCTCCTGCTGGTGCTCAGGACCAGTCCGTTGCTCACCTTTATCTAGCTTTCAGTGTTGAATCTGAATGAGGCAAAACTCCCTTTTTCCGAAGATGTTGGAAACTTGGTGGTAACCTGGGTTCCAGAAGAAACAGAGAAGAACATAAGGTGAGCATCCTGTCTGAAACTTAGAGGCCTTGATGACCATGCTCTTTAAACCCCTGTGGTCTTCTGCAGACTCTTTGTCGTCTCCCTTTTAGCCACCTCATTGCAGGCAGCAGCTGGCCAGACGCAGAAGGTGGTCCAGGTTTTCCTCTGCCTCTTACCGCACTGAACTTCATTGTAATGACGCTGTGAGATGCCTGCTGTGGGAATTCTCCATGGGAGTAAAGAGCGCATTAGAGAGCCTAGTTTATTTACATTTCTCTGTTGTATTTGTACATGCACACATGTGTGCACCACAGCACAGGTGTAGTGGTCGGAAGAACTTGCTGAAGTAGTTGGCCCTGGGGGGTGTGACTTTCCACTTAAAAACAAACACAACAACAAAACATTAGTTTATTAGTTGGGGGAGCATGCCACTGTGCCCTTGCAGAAGTCACGGGCTGACTTAGGAGAATCAGAGGACAACTCGCAGAAGTCGGTCCTCTCCTTCCCTTTCACCAGGTGGGTTCCAGGGACCAAGCTCAGCTCCTCAGGCTTGGTGACGGCATCTTTACCTGCTGAGCCACCCTGCTGATCCTCCTCCCCAAGCTGCATTTGTGATGCGGTTTAAGAAACAAGTGCTGGGCCCTGAGATGGCTTAGCAGGCAAGGACACTTTCCACCAAGCCCGGTGTCCTAACTTTGACCCCTGGAACCCACATGGTAGAAAGAGGAAACTGACTCTTCCAAGTTGTCAGCTGATCCCTACAAGAGCACCATGGCATGTGTAGTTCCAGCCCCTGAGATAAATACATGGGAAACCCCCCTTCACTTACAAAGAAACACTCTCGGGTTTGGGTTGGGTTGGTTTTTCCTCACAAATGAGTGGAAGAGCCCTCAGTGAAACATAGGAAATTTTGATGTCAACCCTGAGGCCTAGGGGATCGAGAGGGAATGCACAGCATATACGCCTTTCACATAAGCAGAGGGGAGGCCCGAAGGCTTGTTAGCGCTGCATCTGTGGGAAAGGCGCTTTTCTTTGACAGTCACGAGGTTTTCAGTTCTTGCTAAGTGACTGAATTCATTTCATCAACCGTAAGAGTTTCTTTTCCACTTCCTCTTTGTGCCCAAATTTATATATGCATGTGTGTGTGTGTGTGTGTGTGTGTGTGTGTGTGTGTGTGTG